GTCGGGTAGGTTGAAATCTCCGCCAACGACTTTATCAAAAGAAGTAAGTTCCTACAGGTAATTAAAGACGTCAACCAACTGGTTCTCATCCCTGAGGCTGACCGAGGGGGAGCTGTATATACAACCTACAGGCCTTCGCTAAGTACAGAAGGACAAGAGTAACCAAGCACAATCAATAGTGGGGCATATAAGTGGAAGCAAAGTCTTTTGCTACCTGATGATCCCTGCCTAGCTGAGGAGCTGGATTCGAAAATGCATGACCTCAAGGGTTTCATCCTGGCGTGCTTAGAAAGCCTGTCCGAGTAATCAGAGCTGGAATGTCTATGCAAATCAACTAACCAACTGCATCAAGTTGGTCCGTGAGGAAAACTCCGACACCAACCGAACTCAGCAGCAAAATTCAGTACTACTTCTAAAATGCTGCAAAGGCACGGCAACGAGCTTCGGAAAGTGCAACGACAGGCCCCAGTTTTACGTGCAACAGTTGGTCCGGTGCTAACTACACAACAGGCGATCAACGCGCTTCAGCAACACCTCATCCGCTTTTGACACAGCTCCCACTACCCTAAGGTTTTAGCTACGTATGGTTCACGGTAGCGAATGTGATGGAAAGGTTATTGACCTTGCATGCGCACGCCTCTCCTGCTGTGGAAGCCATCAGACCGAAGGCATTAAAAACAGCTGCCATGAACATTGCAGGACTATCACCTCGGTTCTTTCGATGATGTCCTGATGAAATGCAGGTTCAGACCACATGGAATCACGGACTAGCAACTCCTACTTACAAGATTAGTACTCGTGCGGCGCCCTCGAACTATCGTCTAATCACCCTCCACCCAGTGTCATCCAAAGCAATAGGACGCCATGAGAACAGCAACATCATAGTGTCAAGTCAGCACGGCTTCCGCCGACATTGGTCTGGCAGTAAAACGTGCTTCTAGCATGCGAAGTTGAACAGAATCAGTCGATGCCAGAGTAGGAATCGAGGTCGTCTGCCCGCACTTCTGTAAAGCGTTGGACCGCCTGGACCAACGCATTCTCCTTTACACACTTCGAGGCTATTAAATCAGTAACCCCGTGATAGGCTGGATACGCAACTGCCTCATTCAACGTCAGCTGAATGTGAGAGGCCGTAACTCTATTTCCCAAGCACTTGAAATCCAGTGTCGTGTGACCTAAGTATCGATACTGGGTGCACTTTACTCCCTAGCCTTCATCAACGACTTTGCCAGTGTGTTCCGATCGCACTTAGTATTTGCGGAACACTTCAATATCTGGCATGACATCGATACAGTGGTTAAAATTCAACCCATCGGAGCAGCTTCAACTGGGGGGCCCAAAGTAATCTCTACGTCATCTTGACCTGTATTTAAAGCTGCCTTATCCCCGGATAGACGCAATAAGAATTGTCACCAGCAGTAGTGTTTAACTAGTAGAGCAGGAAAGTTCAAAATTAGTCGGAGCTTGGAAGCAGCAACGTGCTTAGGGTTATTCGTCGGTTGTAAATTGATAACCGAAAAAGCTTTTTTATCATTTCACCGGGAAAGTGCTCGAAAAGAGACGGATTACAGCTGGATGTACAATATGCTTATGGATGCAGAACTGTCGATGATTGGACTATATGCAGTGATGCAATGGGGATATTTTGGTGAAAACATTCTTTTGGGAATTTCACTGTTATTTGCCACCTGTCCACGGGCACTCTAAGTTATCTGATTGCGGTGCATATCAGCGGGTGTGTGAAAAAAATCGGAGAGACAGTTGCACTCGTCAAGTAACATCAGACAAGTAATATCCTGTGGGGGGAAAGACATGCATAAAATACAAGTGTGCTACGGGGTAATTTATTTGTGGGTGGTAAATATCCTAAAGTTGGAGCAATTAGACTCGGGTGATGAAGAAAGGAGAAAGCTAGAGTTGGTACACCAGTGCGGCTGCTTGCCATTCTTCAAAGGCCCAGCTACGTTAACTGAGTAATTGGGAGGATTATGCACAGAGGAGTCAAGCTAGGCAGAATTGAACGATCGTTCCTAAACATCGATGTCAGTTTGATTGCAATAAATAGTGTTACTTGTTCTCATTGAAGTGTACGACCACGATGGCTGGACGCATATAATGCAATTTTCGAAAATCCATGTGCTTACTATACAGGAGTTTAGAGACTGTTATGCGGGAATGCACTCATAGATGCATCCTTCATTTCTGTACAGATAAGCAGTGTGGTTGAAGAGGAAGATGATCAAAAATTTAAAGGAATTAAAATCTAAGTCGAAGATGGGGAGACAGATAATTGTAAGTTAAACATAGATGAAAAGCAATAACACAACCTCACAGCAAAACTATACGGAATGTAAACGAAAGTTATGACGAATCTAGACTAAGTATGCATAAGCAGTTAGCACTGAATGCTGAATGTGTGGATACCAGGGAATGTTAAATCAAAACCTAACAATTAAGAAACAGAGAGAAATAGTTCTAGGAGAGGATGCAACACATGCGCTACGCAGAGGTCTTGAGGCTGCCCCCATCAAGTGCAGAATAAATATGTATCAGAGAGTTTGACTGGTATATGACATGTGCAGTTAGCCTACAGGGTTGTGTCGGCTCGGGATAGAAGAGAGACTAAAATCGAAGATGGTAATAGTTGAAGGATTGAAATAATGATGGAAGATAAGTTGTTCAACTATCTGTTTACAAATCACCTCACGATATTTAAGAGCTTTCCAATACTTCACCCATTGAAGTTATCCACGCTATATATGGTTGGCGGCATCTGGTTTCCGATTTGCCTGTCACTGTGGCCAGCCACAGGACGCCTGCGCCTACAGAGGGACCATGGATGGCTTGCGATGCACCACCCACAGCTCCAACCACACACCCCATATCCAGTGTAAACCCGAAGGAATAAGACCGGGAGGCATGTGGATGGGAGCCACGTTTCATCAACGGAGCCGGCCCACACTCCTTCACAGGCAAACACAGGCACGATGTAGTTGGGAAATCAACCGCACACAAGGCGGTGGCTGGACCGTAGTCCGCTCCACACTGAGTGCATGGAACCACTCTTCGAGCTTAGCACGGCCACAAGAACCGTGCACCCGTCCCCTCCAGCAACGATCTGAAGACCACCACTCAGGAACGCGACTTGGGTGTGCTGGTACAGGAAGACCTCGGGTGTTCCAAACAGTCAGATTCCGCTTCTAAAAGGGGCAACCAGCACGTTGGACTCCTGCGAAGAGCATTCGGAATTTTAGATCCATCCATCTTCTCTTTGATGCTGAATGCCTACGTGCGTCCTCACGTCGAATATGCAATCCAGGCCTGGCAACCCTGGCTAAAACGTGACCTTGCAGCGCTTGAGACCCCACAGCGTCGAGCAACGAAAATCGTCAAGGGCTTGCGCCACACTCCTTACGAGGAACGACTGGAGATACTCGGAATGTTCAGCGGACGGTACCGGCGACTTCGTGGAGACCTCATACTAGTGTACCAGATATTGAGCGATCCCAGTCACGTATGCCGCCACCTCTTGAAGCTCAGCCCGAACACTAACCTTCGCGGTAACAGTTTAAAGCTGAGCCAACAGTACAGTCGTCTAGACTGTCGGAGAACCTATTTCTCCCTCCTGGTCTGCGGGCCCTGGAACGCCCTTCCAAACTCAGTAGTTTGTGCCCCCACATTAGATACGTTTAAAAAACGATTGGACGTCGCACTGAGCGCCCTGCGCTTTGTTTTATGAACGAAAACGCTTGTATATATTTAGGCTGACCAGCCTCTTTGGATTTATACCCCAAATTCACGGTCGTAAATCTGTGCGAACCGGTGAGTACTCCATTTTTATTTGCTACCATCACCAACGATAACAATTTCTTAGCCAGTTTTGCGTCGTACCACTTTATCCCCCTAAAACTGTTATACTTCTACCTTTTATCTCACTGACACTCCTTACTTCAACCACTTATGTGGTTTGCCAATTTGTTAGTATTTCTATTGCCAACCTGCGGGACTCGTTAAGTGTATGCTTTTTTACCCGTCATATACCATTGTTCCATTGTTCCATTGAACTGTCTCCTGGAGCCAATATGGACGATGTAGTGGGTAATAGACAGGTAGACACCTTGTCAACATACACATCAAGCGCAACCACACCGGGGATAGCACGCAACAGTCAATCACTTGAAACGACAAAATGAAATAAAATAAATCGAATAATGCATACAGATACGGTGGCATAACTCTTCGCTAAATTAGCATATGAAGTAAGTTGGTTACCAATGAATCCGCGATATATATATATATATATTTACGTATGGGCTCATGAGTATATGCTTTTTAACCCAATTAACTGAGTTTATTGCTGCAACTTCCTATGCCCGGAAAAGCACTAGACTGCGGTTTCAACCCGTTGGGCGTCATCATTTGTGACATCCATCGGATCCAACAGAATTCAAACCCTGTTATGGAGAACTCTCAGGTAATTACATACGAAATTGTCTACTGGTGAGTACCAGAAAAATATCCGCCAAAGCAGTTTCGAAATGCTATGTCCTTCGTAGCGACTGGCAGTGGAAGTCTCCTTTTTCGGAGCCAGCTCTGTTCACTGTAATATTCGTAACTTGCATGATAGTGGAGGATAAGACTCGCTATATTGCAGTTGGTTTGGAAACCACGACGGTTCTTTGCTGTCCCCGGTGGCCTAATGGAGACCTGCTAACTAGCGGTGCAAGCCGATGGTGGTTATAGGTTCGAATCCTGATGAATCCGACGGATGCACACTATCTAAGATGTCCAAGAGGTTGAAACCCTAGTCTTGTTCTCTTCCGGGCATGTGGAGGACTATAGGTCTTGGAAGCCGTGGTGACGAACTCTCCTTTTCTCCCACACATTCTCTCTATTTAATATTAAAAACAAGCCGATGGATTACAAAAGTGAAAGTTGTTATAATGCAGTCACTCATTTGGCGACATTACTGCAAAGGTTTATTACTCTGATGTCTTCAGATGTATTATCAATTGGAAAGCTGGCAAGAACCTGACATTAAATGTCTCATCGAAGACGCAACGGAGTCGAATGAGCGGAGAAAAGCAAACAATAACTAAATCGACCAAAACAGATTCTTTTTTCCAGTTTTTCGATCCACCAAAGTCATGTAAGTTGTGAGTCATGAGGAAATATAGCACATTTTCGACTCATAACGTTAGACTAAAGGAATAGCTAATACCAAAAAATCAAACATGAAACCGCAGCGTATTTGTAGAGTTCATTGTTGTCCAGAACCATAGATGACGCAGTTTTTGAGTGTCTTATATGATGGTGCCAAGTTACTAGGTTTGATATCTGCACTAGTTTAAATCAAGTGGTATCTAACGCAGATGAACCACATCCATTTTTGATTGGTGGGTTGATTTTGGACTACACGTTGTGTGATTGGATTGCGACGCGCAATCTCAATGTGGACAGCGATTCACATGGTAGTGAACCTTGGTCACTGCGATCACTGAGACCGTAGTCAAAACACATGGAAATTGGGTGTTGCCCGCAGTGCTCACGAGCGGGCAATACCCGATTCCCACCAATCCCAACTGCTAACCAATCTGCAGCAGTAGTGCACCTGTATGTTTGATATTTCTTCCAGTAGATAATGAGATACTCATAGAAGGTGTTATCACTAAGCCTGAAGAAGAATTACTCAATGAAAATTGTTTGCTGGTAACTTCACTCTTTTATGTTCTTTGCTGAGATTGACGTAATAAATGCGTACCCTTCAAGAGTTGAAACGCGGAGTAGCATTTCAATGAACGTACGCAAAGCGTTCGCAGTGCTTCACGGATAGATCGATGATAAATGAATACATTTGACATACCATTCTGTTTAATTCCTCATGTCATAAAACGGTTTATCTAACATGTACATAAATGTCCTTGCCATAGCCGGCGCACCGAAGGGTACGGTAAGTAAAAATCTTTCGTTCTGATTTATATGTACTGAACATGTTACAAATCAGATATTCACACGACTTCCTTTTTCCAGGATCCTGCGTTAGAACAGCGATTACTGGAAGACTTTGATCTGGGGCAGTACATCAGGGAACGCGTAATCCCAAGGGCAGTGGCTTATTATACAGGTGAAGCCTTGGATTTGGAAAATGAGGTAAGAGTACCATGCAAGCTAACCGTCGAAATGCATAAAAAGAGCATAAATACTGCAGTGCACATATCGCAACTAAGCAGGATAAATTCTATTTTACGAGTCGTGAGTACTCCCATTTGTTCACTGAATTGAGTAGCCGTACCAAATGTCCGTGAAACGCAATATGCTCTTTGGTTTATCAGCGCATGCGCCATAACAGTCGGTCATGTATAGGCCCCAGCCAAGTGATGTTGTTCTGTAACCTGTATAGTTGTGGAAGATCTGTGGCGCCTGTACCGTGTGTAACGCTCAGTGACTGTAAGGCGGAGCCGAACATGTCGGGCACTTGGAAATATATCATCCCACTTATTCTCTACAACCACAGTGTAAATGATCCGTTGGTTTAGAAATCGGATGCCTTAGAGTGCAGTTTGCAGTTAGAAGCAGGGCCTTGTGTGCAATGTTTAATTGTTTCATGTCTCGAAATATATTTTAGGCAGACGATGTGGACGACTTTCCCGTAAGTCCTTGAATTAATGCTGTTTGGTCTACTGTAAATTAATAACAGTCAATCAGACTGTATCGGTTTACTGAACGAGTCTTATGTATTTTTAGATAGCTCAGCCTCCTGATTCAAGTGCAGGACAGATGTTTCTACGTCGTTGGATGGGGACTCACATATCAGCCTCCATGGGAACCAATATATACATCGGTGTTCCCACTTTTGATAATACCGGGGCCATTAACCATGTATTCAGCAGTTTCCCTTTTATAGACAGGTTGTTGCCTAGTTAGCTGTCACTTTTGTACTTTGACAGTTAAATTCGAAAGGTTACCGTTACACATTTATTGGATCGGGAATCAGCAGCTTAAATCTGTTTTCGTCACTGCTCATATCTTCTTGTCTCCATACACTATACCGGGTTAATCTTGGTGCCCCTGTGGTATTCCTGCTGAGAATGCAATTTACGCAGTTTGTAAAATGTGGTTAAGAACCACTGTAGATACCTGATTGACTTGGATTAACAAGTTTCTAGGGACTTTGTGGAGAAAAATATGGCCCTCGCAAATCTATTGACGTGGACGTTTGCCTTTCGGCCGGTGCTATCAGCATAGGTCCGCACTGTTTCCGAACTAAGAGAAAAGATTCGTTTCGTTATCCAAAAGCCCCGCGTAACATCAACTGTTTTGAAAATCAATGTATCCTAGCAGAAAACATATTTGCGTTGTCCACGAACTTATAAGCAAAACCAACCTGTGACGGGAGGTCGATGCCGGACTGCCAAGACCGATAGGTGTTCGGTTTCCGTTAACTGGACAATGTGAAAATAGTTTGGTGGAGTAGTCTCAGTTAGATACAGTTACTTTCAACGTATTTGCTGCCTTAAAGACAAGCAGCTGACGCTTCTTTTAGAGGCCTGTTTAAAAGGCCGCATTTCTTTAAACATATGAATAATAGGAGTGTGGAGGCCATTAGGACCACTTTTAACTTACTGAACACAAATGAAACTGCGAAGTGGTTTCCCGTTAAGTAAGCTCCCGAAAATCTTTATTGACAGTTTGATTTTCTTCCCTCCTTCCATTCTAGGAAGAATTTGATGATGAGTCGGAAGAGGGGGCTGATGACATCGATAACCCCTGAATAAACAAGTAAATGTTGTGAGATCTTACTCTGAGGAAAATAAAACATCGTTATCACAATGGAGCGTTGTTCTACCATATGACTATTCTTCACATTAAGAAGGGTGTTCGCACCTCATGCACCAATCACCGAGGGACTAGTCCATTTCATTTGCCTATAAGCTATTTGTATCCATTCTACTTCGTAGACAATCTCCCATCTGTGAATCGAAGCACCGCGAAGAACGAGTTTGCTTCCAACCTGGTCGCGGGTGAGTGGATCAAAGATCCATACTCCACCAAACCCTGGAACACTACCATTTTACCAGTTAATCAACGTTGTATTCATAGACATAAGTGCTGCATTCGGCTCCGTTGCTGGACCTGCGCTATGGCGTTGATTGCTACAGAACGGGGTCCCAGAAAAGCACATTGCCATCCTACGGGCACTCTACCACCACCTCTCCGTCTTAATGAGGGTCTATAGCAAGCTTTCGTCGTCCTTCGCTGTCAAGAGCAGTATGTCATAGGGATACTCTATGTCCTCGTTCCTCTTCAATTTTGCGAGTTAAAACATCCTGCCGATAGCACTAAACGGTTATCAAAATTTTGGTCTGCAGTTACTACCGGGCAACCGAAAGAGAGATTTACATTGCGCCGATGATATCGCTTTACTTGGTGAAGACTCACAAAGCATGCAAACCATTCTAGACTGTTTGACGATTAAGACATCTAGGTACGAAATATGATCTGTCTAGTCAAGTATAAACTGGTGCTTCAAGTTTGGCATTCGCCCTTCCCCACACTCACTATTCAAGGTACACAGCTTGGACAACTGGGTAGCTTGTCTACCTAGGCTGATGTGTGTCCGCTGGTGGTACAATTGGAAACGAAGTTTCGATTCGTATTGCCAAAGTTCGGTCGGCATTTGTCAACTGTTAACAATTGTGGTGTCGTCGGGATGCCTCCGTCTTAGTAAACGGTCGTGTCTATAATGCCACTATCCGGGCGATGTTGCTGTATGGAAGCGAGTCATGGCCAGTTCGCGTAGACGATATGCGACGGCTCTCGGTCTTCAACAACGGCTGCTTGAGGAGGATTGCTCTTGTGTGGTGGCAACAACGCATCTGCAACAGCAAAGTTAGACGTCGTGTTTTAGGGAATGCGAGTATTCCCTACAACAAGCTGATTTTGCTGCTTTACTTAAGATGGCTGGGTCACGTCCTGCGCATATCAGCTGAAGGTTTGTCACACTACACCCTTTTCGCTCGAGCAACTCTTGGCTGCAAGAGACCACCTGGTGGGCAGCCGTCCACCTGGCATATGAAATCGTTGGCTTTACGTCTTCCCACCGTTGGACACACATGTCTGTCTGGTTGGGGACAAAAGGACGAGGAGCGCCGATGACTGGAAACAATTCAGGATATTGCGTGCAAACGAAAATAGTGGAGGCTTTGTGTACATAGCTGTTTAGATTTAGGTGCTTAATGATTAAAAAAACAAAAAATAAAAATAATGGTGTCTGTAAAAGAACAAAAGATTCTCCCTTTATGCGGCACAATAGCTGAAGTGTAGTGCACGGCAGAATTTGGCTCGTAGAATACTACTGTGTTAACAAAGACAGAATACTTGGAATAGTGCGCCATCGACAGAGGGATCAATCTATGGCTACTGAGGGGACATTGAGGCATGTTTAGATTCGAAACTGCCATTTACCGCGTATCCATCTGACCGTTGGTTGGCTTGCCCTCACTAGCCTCAGCGCGTGCCTTCTACCGGTTGGCACACTATTTCATGAGTTCGATTCTTTTTGAACACACTAGTAAGTGACACAGGCCTCCTTCTAATGTCCTAAAGTACAAATACGGCAAGGAGTGTATCGCCAAGGGGGTGCCGTTGTCCCATGATAGTCGTTTGGTCCTTGAACTCCTTCCTGTGATTGATCTCTTCAAATTACGAAATAACCGAATTTTGTGCTGCGAGTGAATTAGTGGGAACGGGGCCAGAAGACACATATGAAACTAAGTACACTGACGCGGAGAAGGAAATAAATTCCTCTTGTAACACAAAAGACATTTGCATCTAATGTGGTGCGTAGAACGCAGAGGTCAAGAGGTTAATCCATACAATTTCTCAGTTGATTGCATCCATAACACAATCGCTTGCATTCGCACTGCTGCAGCTAACAACCTTAGTGCAAAAACAATAATCCGTAAGTCACAACATTTGCGTCCATCATGCCCTGAGTAGGCAACCGCCATCAGCCAATAGCTTTCGGACGATATACCGTCATGGTAGTTTAATATGGATGTAGTAGGCACACGTGTGGTCAAACTGAAATCATCGTCCGTTTGATTACAGTTTATGCGGTTGTTTTTTACAACACGTTTTCTCGATTGACAACTTCTTAATGTTAGTGAGAATCTTAGGAGTCATAAGAGCAGTATTCACTTCCGCTACAACTACGTGGTTGTAGTAAAACCAGCTAAATGTCACCCGCAATGTTTTCGGCCAGTAAAAGTAGGGATGTCGATATGTTCCCCAGCAGTTCCTTTTTGTAGCTTTGTATACCACGAGTGCCACGTGCTGTTAAGATACCCGTAGCAACCCTTGTGAGTGGGTACTGCACCAAATGTGAAGGGGTTCAGGGACTAGCGATAGTTTGTATTTACTGGTCAGCCAGTTGCAGTATGGCGGCACTTTATCTCGCCTCTTGCTTCCCTCGCTGTGGTCATTACAGTTCTCTACACCCATTTTTGTGCGCGCGCTCTTTCGAACCAGTTCGAGGAGCGTTACTCAGTGCTTTCCACCTAGTGGATCTAACTTGTGTGGAACATGCTGTTAAGCTCGTTCTCAGTTTCGGCACATTCTTCGCCGAGTTCTGCTTGTGAACTCATATCACTCCCGAACTTTTCGAGAATAATTTTGGTCTCGTTCGGTAGGAGAAGCTGAGGACGCTCAAACGACCCTGAAACTATTACTACAGACAGCAGTATAACAATGTTGCGAAACATTTTGCGTCGTTCATCTAATAAACCACGCGTCCGAGACACTTAAGGTATGTTGCCTAAATAATAATAAATAATGCGTCAGCTGTGTATAAAGTCGGTCCTTCAGGGACAAAACGTATATTCTGCAAACAACAGGACCAGGCGAAAACGGAGACCGAGGGCGAGTGAAACATATCGGTATATACAGCTAGTTGGATCCATAATTAACGACCTTTGTTGATGCATGACATTTCTCCTTTGATTCAGTCAAACAAACTCACTCCAATGCGTCCAGCTGTTTGCCAATCAGCGTGCATGCGAGAAACGTGTGAATGTCCAATCCGCCGGACACTGTTCGCGGTTCCTCGGATGTCGTGTTGCACAGAAGTTGCAGGGCTCCTGTCGCGCGGTCGTGGCCTTCGTAGTTTTGCTCCTGGAAACGGTGCACAACTCTGAATCACCTGCGATTGTCATCTGCTGGAACTGATAGGCAGTGGAGGACTCACTGTTACAGATATCGATACATTGCTGCAGAGATAGGTTGCGCTTTCGTATTAGTCGCTTCGTCAAACCTTCGTCATTGATCCCAAGAACAATGCGGTCCCGTATGAGACTGTCCGCCATGCATTTACAGAAACTGCAGGATCGGGCCAACATCTTGAGCTCAGTGACGTACGTGTCAACGGATTCACCTGGCCGCCTGTTCCGCGAAAAGAAGAGGTAGCGTTGAAATGTCTCGTTTGTTTGGCCTTCGCAGTATTCACTGAACTTCTCAAGAACTGTCTCCAGATTGTTGGCATCTTCGCTCTTGTCGTAACACAATGTCTCTAGCACGCGGCGCGCATCATCTCCTGCTGCGCGTCGAACCATGGCCATGCGGTACGCCATCGGTTGTTTGTCCAGACGCGATAAAGTGCAGAAATCCATCCATTTGCTCTTCCACAAACGCCAGTTGCTTGCCAAACTGCGTTCATCCATGTTCAGCGGGGCAGGCATTTGAATAGCCGGTGCAGCTCCAATCATCGTCTGGGTGGTACTAATGTTCTTCTCCTTCTCTGACACCATGTATAAAGTCGGTCCTTCAGGGACAAAACGTATATTCTGCAAACAACAGGACCAGGCGAAAACGGAGACCGAGGGCGAGTGAAACATATCGGTATATACAGCTAGTTGGATCCATAATTAACGACCTTTGTTGATGCATGGCATTTCTCATTTGATTCAGTCAAACAAACTCACTCCAATGCGTCCAGCTGTTTGCCAATCAGCGTGCATGCGAGAAACGTGTGAATGTCCAATCGGTTGCCGCCTTTACTTGCGGCAGCCTTACGGCTTCATTGCTGGGCTGGCACCGCACGTTCGTTCGAATGTATACTCCCATCACAAGCTGCACGCCGTGACAGCGCTTCGCGGCCGTGCGAATACCACCAGTCGCACGGGGGCAGAGTTTACCGCGAGGACGCCCACCTCTACTCGGACTCGAACCCGCGCCGCAAGATGACGAGACAAGCCCGTTACCTCTAGATTACGGGCCGACGGGTATCTTGCCAACACCTCGCATGCATCGTGTAACGCGACCCCATCAATACACGCTGCACCTTCGTGTTCTTGTGTGCGCACTGCTGATTCCCGCTATCTGAGCGCGACCGCGAGGAGAGTGAGTCGTTGAGACAGCCATCTGTCGCGGTGGGCTGACTTTGACACCGAATCAATCAATACAGGTGCATATATATATTTATAATCAACACTATACCAACTATAATATGATTGGCTGAATGCCGCAACACATAAGAAGGAAAAAGGATAGCATGAAAGGGAAAACAACTGTTAAGGTAGAAGAGTCTCATAGAAAGTGCGCCATTGCGTGCGGTCCTTGGCCATATCTTCCAGCTTTTGCAACCAGATGTGCTCGGGGTACTTTGGTTCCAAGCACGGACGTCGGGAACGCCCCACAACAGCCAGCTTCAACGTTTGTGCCTTAACGCATTAGATCCAAGTTTTATATTGCACTCCTTTTAGTCGTTTCCAAGCCACTCCCGTGCTCGTAAATAGGGCTCGTCGTGGTAGCCGCTGGGTAAGCATGCTGAGC